AGAAAACGACGCCGACGCAACCTGACAGTCTAGCGCCGCGCGCATCAAATGACTTGTGGGAATGAACTTCATGTAATATGTGTGTTCTTTTTCTTCTCTTTCACAATGATGCACATAACATCAAACTTGTCAACTACTTTTCCCTATAATTTCAATGACCACTGAGTTTTTATTTCTTTTTCTTTTACACAGAGAAAAAAGTAAATGGCGAGCAACTGGAATTCTAGTAGTAGCCATAAGACAAGCGAGCAAAAATAGAGACGGTCGGCCTGTACAGTAAAATTTACTTTACGTTTCCAGTCAAAATATTTATGCGGTTCAACTTTACCGTAAAGGACCAATCCCTTTACACGCTAAGTCCACTTTAATTTATGTCAATTAGAAGTTATACATTAATGTATTTCTCAATTTTTTTATTCTTACGTTTATTAGGGTAAATATAATAATGACTTTATAATAATGTTGCATTTATTTTAATAATATTAAAAAATTTTCGACATAATATATGTATATATACATAAAACTAGGAGTATACAAATCGTACATTGTGGCCATAATATAATAATCACATAAACTTTTTATAACAATTAAAACAAAAATTATACTCACTGATTTATATGGCTCATTTAATCAGAATTATATTTGTTTTATTATCATTTGATACATTTTAAATTTGAATTGAATTTTTTTTCCTAAAAAATTTTGTCCACTCAGGGATTCGAACCTATAGCTACTCGCACGCATATGACTTAAACCTACAAATCAACCCACTTAACTATTTTAATACTTCTTTTATAAACAAGAATATTCGAATAAGCAAAGAAAAAAAAACGATCGAATTCATTAATTGGTACACACCATTTACAATTATAAGTACATTCAGAGAGGACTTTAGCTCCAGAAGGAGATAAACTATTTTTGAGGAAAATTATTTCTATAATTGTAATATACGGATTTTTCAATGCCAACATTTTGCAGCAAAACTTACAGTTATATCCAAGTTCACAATCGACTAGATTTTTAAATTCATATGGTTTAATAAATGTATAACTATTTTTAAATCATGTATCACTCAAACAATTAATGTATCGTGAAGAGGAAAGTTGATTATCAGTCAGTGATTGTAATGTAATAATATTATTTTTCAAGTGTAAATTTGAATCATCTCGTCATAGGATACTGTCCGAAAGATGTGTCACAAAGTTTCTCCATGTTTTAAACCCAAAAACATTTAATAGTTGAAGTAGTCCAGTAGCCCTTTCAGGAATCATCATTATTCCAACTTCTGTATCTGGTGGTTTGGCACACGTGACAGCTTCAGAACAATGTCCAGTCCATAAATCCATCAAAAGTACAATTTTTTTTCAATATTCGGAAGAAATACATTTTTCAATCCGATTTTAGGTGTTCGAAAAACAGTTAGTATGTAAACGTCCAGAATATATCATATAGTATAATGAAACAATTGTGGCAAAGGTTTATGTCGCCACAATAGAAAGGAGAATAGTTATTTGGTTTGGGGTTGATAAGGGATTTTTTATTAATGATTATTGTAGGAATATGAGAGTGATGGTTGGGTTCTCTTCCTTTTGGTGAACTGTTTCGGGTTCTATTGCAGGGTATGCGGATGGGGTAATTTCTGCTCTTTGTTAACTTACCTTTGGTCTGTGCGATGACTAGATGTGATGTTATTTCTATGTCATGAGAAAAGCAATTGAAATTTGAGTCAGACGAATTAATCAACAAGCAGCAAAGCCAAATTATCCGGATTTAGCAATAGAGACAACGCAGAGGAAACTCCCTCAGATCTCTCCAGAAACAAGTGTGATGGTGTGGCCTCACAAAGGTCAGAGGTCACGTCGGTACCTTGCGGCGCGCGTTCCGAGTATCCTCTCTCTGTAATTGCATGCAAATCACTAAGACTACGGGTAGAAGGGAGGCCTAGGGCTTCGAGATAATTGCATCCAATTCTATGATTGTAGATAATGCAAAACTTTATTTCGCTTCCCCGCGAGTAGGTTCTTACATTAATTATACAATAAGAAAAGAGATTATCCTCAAATATTGAAACTTGACCTTCAAGCAGTGATAGATAGATCTGAATGACTTTAGAGAAATTTACAGATAAACTCATTAGGTTCGCTCGGCGGTTATATAGTGGACGATCGTAGTGTTTTATACATAATAAAACGCACCACCCTAAAGTCTATGTTAGAGGATAAAACACCCAGCTCACCCAATCCTGTAGACTCTGGTGTCCTGGTGGATAACCGAAGAGGTAGTCTGCTCCTTCGACGACTCGTCTAGCGGTATGTAGACTGCTCCTCCACACTGTACTCAGGTGATCTCGAGTTCTTTCTGGATCCTGGATCCTGGCTGATCGCGTTACTTGCGTCTTTCCATTTGCACCAGGTGCTTACCAGTTGACTGTTCTAGTCTACGTCTGATTGACGACTATATTTTTCCTGCGTGGCGTCGGAGCTAGCTGGTGTCGGTTGCTCCCACATGGTGCATGCAAGGCTTTGCCCCTTTGCAGAGAAGAGATACCAGTATAGAAGTCCAATGCTGTGTTAGAGATCCGGACGAAGTTTCGGTCAACATGTCGGTAATCTCAGGTCACAATATGAAACTTTCTGTGAACCCATCGAGCGATGGCGCTGCAACAGTTTATTCCAGCCACGCCCCTCGATCTTAGAGAGAAAAGAAATAAGATTTGTGTTCTCTTTTACTCTCATTACAAGAATCCTAAGCCAGTTTATTTTCAAGCACAAATTTTTAAATAGAAAAGGTCCAGCAATGTTCGCAACATACATAGAAGCTATAATACCAATTTGATATTCTTGTAACAACTCAGAAGTAATACACTCGACTACAGAAACGTAAGTTTTGTGGTCAAGCCTATCAATGTTACGTTTTCTTTTTTCATTTGTCTCATTTCTATCTACTCAGAAGATTCTACTTACTGTGATAGATAGGACTTCGAGAAGGCCCTATTGTTTGTGGGATAAAGGCTGTTGGGACAATAGGGGTTTTATTGCCCCAGAAAAATTTTTAAAAAACTATATTTTTTTCGCTCCCTACTACCCGAGAACGAGACTAAGCTCCGCCCTTCACTTCAGCTCGGCGAGATGCCGGGTTGGCGTGCCATCTTGCGGTCATTTTTATAAATGCTGACTACTTTTCTTAGCTCCCATAAGGACTGAACTTCTATACTGGTCTCTCTTCTCCGGTAGCAAGTGAATGCCTGGGTTGAGAGAGGTCGCCATTTTAGGAGAAGAAACAGAACCTCGATCCCTCGTGTAACAATAATATTTGAATTGAAATTTTTACCTAAAGAAAGTTTTCTAGATTTCGATATGTCTACGTGTACATTATTTGGTATTAACATCGATGCTTCTACTCGTGGACCAAGTTTTTCAGTTGGTTCTTTTAACACAAGAAAAAAAGGGGTGAGGAGTTTTTTACCGGTTGATAACGTTGGTTGTGTGGTATAACTGTGAGTTGTCGAAGAAACCGTTTGAACTGTACACTTTTTTTTTCTCCTTCTGGAGCTAAAGTCCTCTCTGAATGTACTTCTAATTGAAAGCTATTTCGATCAGAATTATATATGTTGTCTAAACCATATGATTGAATTTTCGATTTTACATCATCAATGAACACTTCTGATGTTTGTTTTAATATTTTACGATCATTAATCGTTCCTGATGATATGAATGTGTAAATTATACGAGAAACAATACGATAAGCTCTTTTGAATGATAGTAACCACGTTGAAGATGCTTGAAAACAAAGATCATCAAATTGATGTGCCCAGCGTTTTAATTGTCGTGTAGACTGTACTTTTTTAAATTTTTGCTCATTATTATCGATACTTAAATTTTTTTGCTTACCAATATGCCAATACTCAACTGCTCGTAATTTATAATCATAACTTAAGCCCTCTTCATTGATAGTTCATGCTCCATCAGACACTTTTGATTCATGGATGCATATTCTTCGTCTTCTATAATTTCTGGTTTCCGATCCTTATATGATTCTTTTGTATGTAATAAGTGTTACTCCGTAAAGTAACCGAAAAAAATTGAGGGGCTTAACTTTCATTTTCAATGGTCAAGTGTTGACTGTAAGTTTTGCTGCGAAATGTTCGCATTAAAAAATCCGTATATTACAATTATAGAAATAATTTTCCTCAAAAATAGTTTATCAGTGACTGTAATAGTAATGATATCTATGTTCGCCTACATGACGACAACAAAAACATATTATTTTAAATAATCATAAACTATTCAGTCTCTAATTACGACGAATTTCATTCGGTGAATATTGTGATTATAAATAATTAATCATTAACAATTTGGAATTTTTAAATTGCGATTTTGTTTACTGTCGTTAATGTTATTTCGAAAATTGCAAAGACACGTATAGTGTAAATTTCTATACTCTTTCGATTGAAGTTGATTCCATTAAAAAATAATTTTTAGTTTTTAAGTTATAGTTTGTTATTTTTAATAAAAAAGAATGTATATCCGCAAGTTTCATAAATATCTAAATGAAGGTATTTTTCATCATTTTTTATGTTGTTTGTAACGCATAAGGTCGTTTTGGAGAATTTCGATTTGAAATATGTGAAAATTAAAAATCACCTTTAAAGGGCGTCAAGTTTGGGGGTTATTTTCATCCCTTCAAAAAGTTTTTCCGTGGAAAAAAAAATACTTAGTTCATCATTTTTAATGTAGATTATTATATAGAAGCTTCAGCTAAATCGACGGTGACCCCCTTGCAAGGTCTCCTCACGGTGATACACGGTGTTTCTTTGTCTTAATTTTTTAAAAAAAACTTTTATCCCTCTCTATGTTCAAAATATAGTGATAAGTTTCCAAAAAACTATCAGGCGTTTATTTATTATCTAAATTTACGTTAATAAATACGTTTTTACATTTTTACTCTGTCAATAGTTTTAATTAAAATCAGGTAATAAATATTAATATATATTTTTACAGAAAACGCAAATCAAGATGTCTTCCATCAGTGACAACCTGTTTTATACTCGAGATATAGGACGATTGACATTAGATCAACGTTTATTTTATGAGAAAAATGGATACATAGTAATTCCTCAACTAGTCTTCCCGGAAATATTAAGGAAATGCAGTCAGAGATTTGACGATATTGCTTCTGGTAGAGTGGATAAAGGGCACATAACTGTAATGAAAGATATTACTGATAAGAAATCCGTAAATAAAGTTCAAGACCTCAATTTCGACCAAGTATTTCGCCAATACATTGAATATAAGAAAATTTTAGATATTGTCGAAACTTTTACTGGACCTAACATTATTGCTGCTCACACAATGTTAATTGCTAAACCTCCTGATGCAGGTTCCAGAAGTAGTAGGTAATATTCAAAATCATCAATCCATGCATAATAACATTAAATTTAAAAATCCTTATATCAGTCTTTGACATTGTCGGTATAAATAACTATCATGTCGTTTGAACAATTCTAATTATCTCGTTATTTGTAAAAACTAATTTATGTAATCTAATAAGTAATAATTAGCTGAAAGGCTGGATTTTCGTCCGAATGATAGATTTGTTTGAAAACATCATATAAAATTGGCAAAGCTGGGGTCATAATGAAATTTTAGTTACATTCAAGTAGGACTAATATTAAAACTAAATGAAACAATTAAAATAGGTTATATAAATACTTAATCAAATTAGCTAATAAATATTTTCAGACATCCACCTCATCAAGATTTGTATTATTTTCCTTTTCGACCAGCAAATCGAATAGTTGCTGCTTGGACAGCAATTGAACGGTGTGATACTGAAAATGGATGTCTTTTCGTTTCACCTGGATCACATACTATTAATAAATTGCTTCCTCATACTTATCCTCGAGATTCAGATGCAAATAATAAATTTTACCATGGAATTCAAGTAAGTTATTGAAAATCTATTAATAATATAATATTTTTTTTCTCTCTTAATACTACATATCATTATAGGAACTCCCCGATTCAACCAAATGGATTGATTTAGAAATGGAACCGGGAGATACGGCATTTTTTCATCCTCTATTAATTCACGGCTCCGGAGTTAATAGATCGAATCGTACAAGAAAAGCTATATCTTGTCATTATGCAGCTGCAGAGTGTCATTACATTGATGTAAGTAAGAAAAAAGTTTTATCCTTGACCTTTAGGGTGCGGGAAAATTTCAGTACGAATTGATCTCTTAGAATATGTGAAATGTATGCATAAAATCAGTGGATATCTTAGATAGAGTCGCTGACCTGACTGCTGGTTTATATATTGACCACCCCCGCAGCCTAAATGTTAAAAATCGATTCGTTTCATATTGTATACTAAGGTAAAAATTAAACTTTCAATTTTATGGATCAAATAGATATACGTTTTTTTTAGGTTACCGGAACAGTGCAAGAAGATCTTAAAAACGAAATCCTTGAAATGGTTAGCAAGAAATATCCAGGACTAGATGTTGATTATACAACAATCTGGCGTTTTAAGTCTTCCATTGTTCGGGGAATCCGATCAATTTTGTAAATTTACTTTTATTCCATTGATATTAATTATTAATATAATGACAGTCTCAACTTCATTTATTCGTAGTAACAAAAATGAAGTTTTATAAAAATTTGTATCATGCGAAAATGTAACAATACAAAAATTAAAGTAAAAAAAATTTACAATTAATAAGGATTTAATGATGTTATTCATTGTTAAGTGTTATCAATTATTAATAAATATATTATAACAATAAAATATAATTTGGTATGGTAGCAGCGGAAAGAGCTTCTGAGACTTGAGCAAACATGGGGTTTTTGTAGATATTAGAATCAATTCTAACATCAACGAATAATATTGTGGGATCGTTTTCCTAATGAACTTTGTTATGTCTGCTGGTTCTCGGTCTAGCTCGAGTTTAAGTTCGCAAACTTTTCTTCAGGATGACTGGTTAACGTCCGAAAATGTCGGACATAACGTAAGGATATTGTTAACTGGGAATAAAATATGAGGTAGGGGATTATAATAAAGTGGAGACTTTACTGGTTTGTCTAATGGTTTGTCTAATGAGATGATCGCAGCGAGGCTGTCTTAATTAAATTACAACTAGTTAACATATTTACCCGCTCTCTTAAACTAAATCAGTGAATAGTCACTGAATGTTTCAGTGAATTTTAAATTTGCTAAAATATCGGTAGATCTAAAGATTATTAGTTTATTCGGAAATATTTTTACTATCAATTTGAGCTGTCACTTTTTCCCATTTTCACATTATATAGGAGTTCCCGGGGCAAGACGGATCCCTAGATTTTTTTAATAAATGGGGAAAGACGGATCTCTTGATTTTGGTAGAATTAAATTTTTTTAATTGCATAACTTGACATAATTCTTTAAACGTATGCGCCACTAGTTTCAAAAATGGCCAGGGTTCGCAGCACTAATAAAATTCGTAATACGCGGTAATTTGAAATTTATAGAGGGCGTTAGCAATGTTTATCGAGTTGCTATGGGTATATCGGCCTTAAATTGAACATTGTTGTACTCAAATTCAAATTGCATCAGTTCAGCAATAGATTTTTGTAATTAAATAATATCATGGTGCGTAACTATAAAAAAGTAATAAATGAAATTGGGATGAAATTTTACTGGCAAATGCCATAAGGGCAATTGTACATAGAGTTAAAGGCGTTAAATCAGCATCATTGTGTGATGGAGTTTCAAGTATCACATTAATAATCTAAATGAATTAATAACGTCAAAATTTCAATTCTCAAATCAACTTTATTAGTCTTTTTTTCTTCTTTCTTTTCCATTGGAAAGAGCCTGAAAAGTACCAATCAAAACCCAAAAAGAGCTGGAAATGCCAAGAAACTGGGAGGTCATGAAGCTAAACAAATTTAGAGATGATTACAGCATCGAAGTTCTCAATAACATTTCAATATAATGAAATTCTTTTAGTTGAATGGTCTTATTTCTTGGAGAAAATTCTCCAAATAAATGACTGACTACGCATCCTTTCAAAATTCAAATGTGATTCTCAAATAAATGATCTAATATCAAAAAAACGATCAATTCCACCTTGCGTGAAAAATTTTCAAAAATAAGTTCAATAGCTTCTGCTCACTGTGCAAACTAAATTATCAAAAATTAGGCTCACAGTTACGCATACTATTCGAACAAAAAGAATAGGATACCATGGGCATCTAGGATCTCACTTTGTTTCACTTTGGCCAATAAATAAAGAAAAAGATTCCAGTACAAAGACTCTAACCGTGTATATCCTACGGTAACTTCAAGAGGAAAATTCTCGAACTAGAAGTTACAAAAACTCTGAATTCAACAGAATTCAGAAAGAGTCAACAATCAATCATCATCGTAAGAAGCGAGTCTATTCATATGAACTATTTTAAATTGACCATTCGAAGTTTTGAATCATATACGGACCTTCCCAAATTGATTGAATTTTTGGACATTTACTTTGATCTTTTCAAGCAAAATACTAATTGATTGATTTTTAAAATCAAAATAAAAACTACTTAATATGATTTCTAAAATTAACTGAAGAAAAATTATGAATTAATTTTCCGTAATTTTTTTTTTGCAAGAAAATTCACACTCTTTTTCCCTGTGGCCAATTCTACCACACAACCTATTTTTAATGCGAATAAATTGCCTGAGATGTTTTTAGTTATTTAGAGCCAAAAAATCGATAACAGATGAGCTACGCCGCAGGATGTAGTTAGGAGAGGTACACACACACAAAAGACACTTTTCTTGAGCTTTATGATTGTTCCATTATAAAAATAAAATTATTTTTCACGTTAACAATAGCTTATTAACAATGTTAAAGCTTAACTGAACGTTATTGAGCCTGAATAGAATTTGTCAAGAGCTTGTAACAATTATTTTATGCAAAAATAGAAAGAGCGGTAATAAAACACGTTTACTTGAGCGTCGCGTGAGCGTTAATAGCTGCAAACACTTTGTAACCGGCGTCGGTAGACCTACCACAATAATAAGACACCTATCATTGGCTTGGTTGAAGAAGACGAGCTGTAATTAGTTGAGCGCTAAAAGAAGAGCTAGGATAGGGCGAGCTCGACTGAGCACGAGCTGGGACGAGAGCGAGTCCAGCTGACAGGTTGCGATTAACCTTTCGCAACAATGTTGTATGCTATTAGCACCACTAACATTTTGATTGATTGTCTCGTGGTCATTCTGACCTTTTGATTATCCTAGATGATTGTGCTGCTTCTGAACTTGTCCTTTGGACCATTCCAACTGAACTCTCAACCCTGCTGAGGCTGAAACCTCATGTGCTAAGGTCATCCAGTCAGTTTGACCCTCCAGAGCAAGTCCATAAGCAAGTTGAATGTCTATGAATTGGTCGAATGTTCTCCGAAGACTACTTCGTCTTCTCACTGCTGTGAACTGGAAGGCTAAGTGTCTGATGATGATTATTGTGATGATTGTGCCCTGGAAGACGCCTGATTGCTGCTGCCTGATGATTTTCGATGTAACAGTGAGTGGAACATTGTATAATGTTTGGAGTTACACTCTTTACATCTGTTCTTGTTGGTGCAGGCGGGTGTATTGTGTCTTTCAAGACAGTTTTTGCACAGCTTTTTACTGTCTACAGTCCTCAATCGTTGTTCGCGAGGCCAAGCCCTGTACTCAGGGCTCATGATTTAGAATGTCTTGTTAACACAAACGAGAACGGAGAAAGAATTGGTGACAAAAACGTCACTCGTCAAAGAGGACACTAAAAATTAGTCAAATGAGTGACTAGATTAAGAATTATTGATTATTAAGTCAATTGGTTATCGACCTAGATGTCCCAAGATGGCCGCCGAAGTCCCTGTCAGCTGAAAATTTAAACTTGAAAATTGATTAATTCTCCTTCTTCTGATAATCCAGATTCATCATCATCCATTATAATTTTGATAATATTATTCATCATATCAAACCCTGTTTGCACAAGATCCATAGCACTTATACGTACAGTCTTACTATCTCTAGTAAAATGTAAATGAAAACTATGAACTCCAATTCGTCAATGATGTCTAATTTTGCTTGACTTCTCATTGAAGCCTGGAATTTCAATAGCTATCGATACTTTCCAGCTAAGGAGAGAGGGAAAAGATTTTTAGTATCATTGCTGTTACCTGTGAAATAACACAATTTCGGTGTAAATTCTACGGCATATCAGGGCTGAGCAATACTTATTTCCCTTACTCCGGTGACTCTTCAAGTATAGACGATTGCCCTAATAGAAGACTGAGTGAGAGCAATACTGAGCCTATGTTAAGTTTTCATGAATCTTTCTCCCAGTGGAAAAAATAGAAAAACAATTTGAATAGAACCCGTTTTCATTTTTTATAACAAATGGATTATTAATTATAAACGAAATGCGTGTGTTTTATTCATTTGATATGGTTAGTTACTTTATTTCAGTAAAAGAAAAAATTATGCGTTAGAAGAATTCAAATGTACCTCATAGATCCTTTTTTCATTATTTACAACGAATTTCATTGTTATACACGAAAAAAGTATGTTTTCATTTATGGCATACGGTTGGTAACATTTTTTTAGTAAACGAAAAAATTATGCGTTAAAAGTACTCATATATATAGAAAGGGTCCCTATTTTTATTGTTTGTAACAATTTAAAACTTATTATTTAACTATTACTATGATCGATAATCACTTGTTAGTAACAATGTTCAATTGTTATGAACACAATTCCATATTATTGACAATTATTATTAACTTCCCAGTGGGAAGTTATAGTAATAGGTCCGATTTTGCGAATCGCTAATTTTGACATATCTCCATGTTTTAAGGTCCCCAAAGTTGAATAGGATAGTTTTTACGTGGACGTCTGTGTGTGTGTATGTGCGTTTGTGCGTATGTTCGTACGTGCGTTCGGAATTATTTTTCGCATCGATAATCTCGAGAACTCCTTCATAATCCCTATTCGATAGTTTTATACTAAATCGTCGCTATTCTATCAATGATAATTCCGGGAATTCACTTTATTCTTTTTCATACTTAATATGGACAGACAAAACAAAAGGAATGTTCTTGTCAGTTAATAAACTAACTCCTTTCAATAGGCTAGAAAAACGTTAATCCTACGAACTTTTATTAATACCGGACAAAGGGAAGAATGTTTATTTCTTAAATTTTGCATGCTTATACTGGATCTCATCATTTCACTAGAGCACACAAACAAAAAAAATTTCTTTTAGCTTAAGAGCTATTATTTTCGTGGAATTTTAGTAATAAGATTAATAAATTCTTTCTTCGAATCCTCATCAAATCAAACGTGAAAAGAAAATTTTAATAACCCAAGAACTTTCCAGAATTGTAACAAAGAAAATAACTTTATATAAAATGAATGTATTACAGGTGAACCTTCAACCATACAAGAAAGAAACTAACTAAACTATACTCAATATTATTAACGAACAAAAACTCAACATTAATCATATAAATCTCAATAAATCTAACACTACAAAATCATCAAATACTCAACTAAATTCTATCTTAACTCAATTAACCAATCTCAATAACTCAATAACAAAAAAAACTAACTAATAAATCTGAATCTCAGAAATCATCTAACAAAAAAAACGGAAATTTTCGGCGCAGCCCCACGTCGGGCGCCATTTGTAACGTTATTTT